TTTTATCTGCTTTTAATTGTTCCTTCCCCTGCTTTTTTTTTTTTTTTTTCTTTCTTGGAGATGCATTTTAAAGAAATCCCTCTAGTTTTTGGAAAAACTGCTTTCAGGCCTGCTGCACAGTTGTCTTCCTTAGGCTCTTCTGTATCCCAGGAATCCCTCCTCTCCTCTGATTTGGAGTCTCCATTTTCTGAATCTCTTTTTTGTCTTTCTCTTCCTTCTTTTTTTTTCTCCCTGGTACCAGGGATCGAACTCAGGACCCTGAGTTTGCAAGGCAGGCGTGGTGGCACTGAGCTACGTCCCCAGACCCTCCCTTCCTTCTGTGATGGGAGCACCTTTCCCCAGCAGTAATTCAACAGGAAAAGCAATGCCCTGAAAGTGGTGGCCACTGTGGCTTTTGGACTGCGGTGTGGGATCCCTCACTGTTTTGCCTTTGCCTTCTCCTGTGGTAGCGCTCCTGTTCCCACATGCACGACTTTTCTTTTTGGTTTTATGCTGTCATTTCCAAACATGTCCCCCAGGAGCTTTGTTTGCCTTTTGGAGACACTAAGTATCTCATTCTGTAGTTTGGCTGGACTTGAACTGGGAACCCTCCTACTTCAGTTTGCCATGTGCTGTTCCCCCAGAAGCTTCTTTTTTGTTTTGTATTTTTGTTTTTGTTTTTTTAAGGCAAGGTCTCCCTTTGTAGTTCAGGCTGGCTCTGAACTTGCTGTGTAGCCCAGGCTGGCCTCAAACTCACAGGGATCCTCCTGCCTCAGCCTCCCCAAGTGAGAGTATTATAGGTGTGTGCCACCACGCCCAGCTCTCCAGCAGCTTCTTGAGAAAGGATGCAAGGGAGAGTATTTTTTTTGAGGTTTCTGTATGGCTGCAAATGTGGTTATTCTACTCTTACACATAATTTAGCTGTGGGGGCCGGGGATTTAGCTCAGTGGTTTTGCCGCCTGCCTTGCAAGTGGAAGGTCCTGAGTTCAATCCCTGGTACCAAAGAAAAAAATTTATTATCTGGGTACAGAATTTTAGGCTGCGTTAAAGAACAGGCCCCCCAGGATGTCTGAGTTCACATGAGATACGGGTTCATTTTTCTTACACTGACCAGCTGGAGGAAGTAGCGGTCAGGGAGCCAGGTGTCCAGGTGCTGTTTCTTCCGCTTATTGCTCCACGATTCCCTAGGTCAGTCCTAAACCAACCACACCTGCCCACCTCTGAATTCAAGGCTATAGGAAGGGGGAAAGAGGAAGTAAAAAGCAAGTGATTTCCTCTAAAACTGTGACTGAGAAAGTTGCACATTCTGCTCCTGTGAAGTCATTTTTAAAAAAATATTTATAGATGAAGCAAAGTCATTTTCTAGCCCACTGTTCTATCAGGGTGATGCCTGGGAGGGTCCTTAGTTTCACGTGTGGATCTGGATACACTCCCAGCTGAAGCTCCGGGTAGTTTCGTGTGTGTGAGGCTCACTGAAACATTAACACCCAACCCCAGGCCGAGACTCTAGGAGAGCCACCGAGCCAGCCTAAGGGCTTCCCAACACGAGCAGCAGTTTGTCTGTCCCACACCACTGCCCACGAAGCCGGACGGGGTGGCCCTGTCATCTCGCTGCCGCGTCTCGTCTCCACACACAAGGCGCCTCCCCTCTTGCCCCACTGCTTCCCCTGGACTCGCCAAGCTCCGTCCCACCTCCTGGTCTTCCTCTGCGGGGATGGCTCTTCCTGTTCCGTTTCCTCCCCTGTGCTGCTCAGATGTCCTCAGACCCTCGCGACCACCCGAGCAAAGCCGCCCCCCATACTGTGCCCTTTCCCAGGCCCTTGGAAGTGCAGCCGGCACATTCAATGTGCACTGAATGCAGTCAATGAACACTTGCCGCACGGACAGTGATGCGGTCTGGGGGGCAAATAATGAATAGGTTGTGGGTTCTAATGGGTGAGGAGGGGTCACTCGGAGGCCTGTGACGGGCAGCCGACTTTCCGGAGATGGTCCTGACTGAACCCTACAGGACCAGCAAGACTAGCTGCAAGGCTGGTCTGTAAGGAACTGCGCATCTAAAATGACAGGGACAAGAGCTGTAGCACGGCTGACGGACCAAGCTCTCCGAAGCAGACAGTACTGTGTGCTCCACAGGTTTGTCAGTAACCCTGCGGCACGTGGAGCGTCCGTCCGATCCGTCTTATGGAAAGCTGGGGGGACCTGAACCTCAGGGAGCCGGTGACTTCCAGTGACGGGACAGACTCGGCTCTCCACACTTCACAGGGAGGGTGGGAGCAGGGCTGATACAGGAAGGCAGGGCAGAGCTGGGGCCAGAACCCAGCTCTCCGGTCTCCTGGGCTTGTGCTCCTGCTCCGGAGCCCATCAGGAGGAGTGGGGTGGGGTGAGTTAACCACAGCCGGGCTGAGCCAGGCGGGCTTCGCCTCCTCAGCTACTACCGGAAGAAGCTGAAAGAAGGCACCCACAAGGCCCGAGAGATGGCACCGCCACAGGCCCGCTGCGGTCACAGAAGCAGGCTCCCTCTCACCTCCAGCAGGCAGGCTGCTTGGAAGGCCCCGGACACAGGGTCCTCAGCATCCTGAGCCGGCTAAAGCAGAACGGTGAGGATTTTGGCGGCTGTGCCAGGAGGGGGCTTGGATAACCCTGCCTACCTGGCCTCCTTCCCCTGGGCCCACGTACAGCCAGACCCCTGAAGCTGAGAGGTTCCCACTGCGGGTTATCCACGTGCATCCGCAAATGGCTGATCCTTTCTACCTGATGTCCAGCCCCGTGCCAACAGGCCCTGACCGGCCCTTGCCGCCCTGCGGCAGCCCTGAGGACAGGCTGCTCCCAGCACAGCCCGCTGGAGTCGGTTAACAGATGGGACCCTCTGCAGATGTCTCATTCCATCCGTCATATTTTTTCACTCCATTTTACAGAGGAAAAAAAATGGAACTGAAGTTAAAGTACCTTTCTGTGGGCCAGAGGTTTGGCTTAGTAGTTCTGCCGCCTGCCTCGCAAGTGCAAGGGCCAGTTCAATCCTGAGTACCAAAGAAAAAAGTACCTGTGACCCCCCCAACACTCAGACCCACCCCCCAATCCTGTCCTTGCCCTGGTGCCCTGTCAGGCTCCTTCAGTGTGCCCGTGACGAGCAAGGGGCTTCAGTCTGTCTAGTGTGCCCGCCAGGCTGTGCAAGGACCCATCAGAAAGGCCTGTTGGGCTGTGTTCAGCCCGACGCTGAATGTGTCCAGCCTTTAATCCTCACCTCGGCTCAGAGGTTCTGAGAGGTTCAGAGGCTGGCCGAACCCCACCCCGCTCATTAAGTGGAGAGCCAGGATTTCCCCTGGGTACACAAGTCTCTGAAGCATCCCCTACCCCTAGCTTCCGACCTGCAGAGTCCCTATGCCCAGGTGCCCTGCATCCCACTCTGCCCTCGGCTGAACAAGAAGATGGTTCATCAGAAGCAGGGCAGCCACAGCATGCTGGACCAGTGCGCACCGGCCAGGCTGAGCCCCAGCACCCGGAACCTCTTCCAGTCAGGACCTCAAGGAAGCAGGTAGGTACCCATAGGGCCAGGGCCTCTCTCAGACCCATGTGCTTCCTTCCTTGAGAGAGCCCTGGCCAGCACCTGGGGAATCCAGCCTTCTGCTTGCTCCTGGGAGGGGACAGGAGAGGACAGAAAAGGAAAACACCAACCTTTTGTCAAGGTCTGAGGAACAGGGTAGATCATTTCTCATGGACACCAGAGAACTTCCTGTGTGCAGGACTCAGTGGTACCTCACTGTTTTTTTGTTTTTTTGGTTGAGACAGGGTCTCACTATGTAGTTGAGACTGACCTGGAACTCACTATGTAGTCCAGGCTGGTCTCAAACTCACAGTGATCCTCCTGCCTCAGCCTCCTGAGTGTTGGGATTACAGGCGTGAGCCACCACACCCAGCTGTACCTCACTGTTTTGCTAGGGGCGGGCACTACCCCCTTTCCCATGCAGGGAGCCGAACTGCTCTGCCCTAGCCTGGTTCCACATTAGAAGTAGCAGGCTTAGCCACTAGGCAGAGAAAGTGAACCCTGCAGCAGTCCCCTCCTGGGCCCCTGCCCTCGTCACTTCTGGGAGATCACCTGTCCCCTGTGCATGCAGGGTGCCCCTAGCCCGGTAGGACTGTGGGGAGAGGGTCAAACATCTGCCACCCTTCCGCCCGCCCCAGGGAACACAGCTTCAAAGGCGGAAAGTGGCTCAGCTCTGTGTCCACTCGAACCCACTGATCCTCTGGAATCTGGCAGCACAGTTCAAGACCTGCAGAGAGATGGGCCACTGGGCAGGGGGTGCTGTGGGAGTTTGTTTCTTTGGCCTGGTAAGCCAATAAACATCAAGCACCTCAGCCTGTGCCTGGGTGCCCAGGTCTCCACAGCCTATGTGGCTCTCACGGTACGGGACCCCACACCCCTGGGCTTAAGACTCCCTAGGCAAGACCACCCATAAGGCCCTGCCCAGGGCTGGCGTTCCTGCTGCAGGTGTCCTTGCAGTCTTTACCTGGTACTCTCAAAGCAGAGTGGCTCCTCCCCTCCCAAAAGTGTCTGGCCCTTCGGACTGGGCACCCCACAAAGGCACTGTGAACAAAAGCCAAGTACCCAGGTAAGACCTGGCCTCTGGGAGCTGCAGGCCGAGGAAGAGCAGGAGGCGGCCTCAGCCTCCACTGTCCCCACAGAGTCCAAGGATGGGGGCCTCCTTCTCTGGAGCCCCAACCTACACACCAGTCACCCCATCTTTCCCCAGGGTTCAACAAGCAGCCACTGCAAAAGGTAAAGGGCCAGGGATTGAAATAAGGACAAGGATCTGACAAGTTTAAAACATGTATTTAAAATACAATTTATAAAATGCTTAATCTGCCGTCTAGGAGCCTGCATGTGGGGGTAGGGTGGGGGTGGGCAGCTGCCCACTGCACCGGCAAAGCAGGGTGCAGGGGTGTGGCCCCCTCCCATTCCCTTCTGCTCAGACACCCGAAGGGCCCGTGTGCACCCCTGGGATCACACGACCAGAAAACAGGACCCCAGAGGTTTCTTGAGTCTCTGCTTACCAGGGATGCTGGGTGTAGCCCTGCCGGCCCATCCCTGAGCAGGGTACCCCCAAATGGGGCAGAGCAGGGTATGGCTGGGCAGGGCAGGGCTAGGCGGGGCAAGTAGGCTCTGGAAGGGGCTGATGATAGCAGATAGGGTGTTGCCTCCTGCCTGCAGGTGGGGAGCACCCTGATTGAGTGGGCTGAAGAGGGCTGGTCACCAGGCCTGGACCCCTAGCTCCTTTGGTTATAGGCTGACATCAGAGTAGTGGCTCATGGGAAGCAGTTAGCCGGAAGGACTGAGGCCTGGCTCAAGGGGTCTGGGAGGAGCTGGGGGAAGGGACAGTACCGTGAAGGCAGATAAAGGGGCGGCAGCCTCAGGGTCCTGCCCACCCCCCTGGGGATTTCCAAGCCAAAGCCTGCAACTTACTTAAAAAAGAGAGAGAGAAAGAAAGAAAAAGAAAAAGAAAAAAGCACTTGAGGAAAGTTACAGACAACTACAAAAAACCCCACACAAAATCCAAACCGTTTTCCCATCTTCCCTCCCACCTCCCCCAAACAAGTTTCCTGTTCCTTTCATTTTGCCTGCCACCTCTCATCGGGGAAGCCAAAGGCATGACTGCTGGTGGGCGGTGACAGGCAGAGTGGGCAGAGCCCCTCCTTTAGCCAGAGAGCGGTGGGAGCAACAGTCCTGGCCGCATGCTCAGTCCAGATGCCTGCTGTCCCGGCTCCCACCAGGCTGCCCACCCTTCCCACCTTCACTGCCTCTGCCGCGCCCCTCCAACGGAAAGGAGCCTTGCCTCGGCCAGAAGCCACTCTGACTGACTTGAGGGGCGGACACGAGACATTTAGTGCATGGATACTTGGTGAGGGCAGCGGACTCTAAGACAGCAGCCAACTTTCTTTCTGCCCACCCCTTGCAGTAACCGCCCCTCTTACTGACTGAAGCGCTACTCTGGCTCCATTCACGGACGATTTCTGACTTCACACGGTTCTGAGGCTGGGCTGCGGACCAGCTGCAGGCTCCCAGGGAGATGTCCCGGAGCACGGCTGAGCCGGGCCGGGTGAACCCAATGCACAGTAAGTCTGCAAAATCCAGCTTGCCATCTGGGCCACCACAAGCTGCCCTATTCCAAACCACACCAATCACTCCAAATCCCACCCAGTGGTCAGGAGTCGGGAGGCCACCTGGCTGAGGGTAAAGCGCGGTGCATCGCAAGAGAAAAGCAAGTTGGGCAGAGGCAGGCTGCACATACAGAGCTGCTCTGGGCAGCTGCCCTCTTAGCCTTTTCTCCTCAAGAAGTCAAAGCAAAACTCTAGGCTCCAGGACCTGAGGAGAAAACGTCTTCGTACCAGGCCCTTGCTCTGGGGAACTGGTCGGCCATCCATCTTTGCAATGCAAAGCTTTGCTTCCCCCTCCTTATTCAGACTGCTCTGCTCCTGGGCTACCGATTTCACAGAGGAAATGTACCAGGTCTAGTCACTGAGCTGCAGCCATCAGTGGAGGAGATCCAGCCTTGCTGGAGTGGGAAGGTCATCCGACCACACCAGTTGTAGGATCGAAGGCCTGGAGCCAGACTCTCCTGGCAGTCTTGTGCTGACAGCAAATACTGACCAAGCCCTGCACTCCTTGCTTCTAAGCCCAGGAGAGCAGTGTGCCTCCCTGATGCTCTCTGCTGTCTTCTGGAAGTAGCAAGCCTGGCTGGTAGGAAGCCACCCTGAGGAGTAGGGGAAGGGGAAGCCTGTTACTTTCCCTATCTCCCAAAATACTAGAGGTGGGGTCGGCACCTTCCCCAGGCTCTCTGAGCCTAAAGCACTAGCCCTGACTCCAGGCAGGGCAAGATGCCTGGGACTTAGCTGGGGAGGGAGGTATAGGCATGGGGTGCTCACCTGTCCTGGGGCCACAGAGCCCTGCCCCTTTTCTGGGCGGCAGTAGGAATATAGAAGCTAAGCTCACCAAAATCCTATTGGTTAATGTTTCTAGTGAATAAACCAGAAACATTTATTTAAGTAGACTACCAAACTACCCTTTTTCAATTAAAAATTCATTAAACTGCTAAAACCCTCCCATGCACGTTTTTAAAAAAATCAGATATTTGTATAAACAAACAAAAATAGGAAGGAGAAAAAAAGGAAAGGATATTTTCAAATGGAACTTACTTTTTAAGTGATGAAGACATGCACTTGGGGGTGGGAAGGTGAAGTTCTCATTTGTGTTTTGAAATCCCAAATTAATGAGCATGATAAACTTATTGCTGGCACTGGCGTTACCCCAAGTGGCCAAGTGGCACTGTCTGACTCTACTCTGAGTCCCTGGTGGGTCCCCCCAGCCCTCCCCTTGCCCCCACCCTTTCCATTTCCATTGACTTGGGACAACCCTTGTCGACGACGTGCCAATCACAGTGGGAAGGGGGGAGGGGAGAGGTCACAGTGCATGGGGTTCAAGGTCACAGTGGGCGGAGCAAGGGGGATCACAGTGCAAGTAAGTCAGGTCGTTCCCTCTGCTCAAGTCCAGCTGTCTGCCACGGCAGTGCGACCCGTGGCTGACGACCCAGGAGGTGGTGACGGCGGTGGCGGCGGCAGCATCCTTTCTGGCCTCCATTTATCTGCGCTGTTTGAAGCCTTGTGACCCATCAGGACCCAAAGGCTGTCTGACCACATTACTGGGCTGCCTGCTATCTTCCGGCTGGGAGATCCTGGTTGGCCTGCAAGGAAGAAAATCAGAAGGCCTGAAGCAAGATACAAAAGATGTCCTCAGATCTTAAAATCAACTGTGCTTACAGCAGAGACAGACATCATGGTGGCTGCCACCCAACTCTGGCTCCACAAGCCGGCTGCTTTGGCAAGAAGTCAGGAAGTCCCTGTGGGCAGGAGGGCAGTCGTGGCATTGTCCCCTCTCTGGCTCGCCATCACCCACTCACAGGCATAACCCAGCCTGTCCAGAGCAGCAGCCAGGAGTGGCACATCCTCCACAGAGCCAGTGTCGGGCAAGGTACAGATGCCTAGCTACAAGCACCCTGGAACTCTGTTTTCCTGCTTATCTTCAAACTGTCCAGTTAGTGGCTGCTTCATATTATTAGAGAAGACTGATGAAAATGAACTTTTTCCACTAGGAAAGATGCAGACAGCAGAGAAAACAAATGATGGACAGCCCTTCAAAACAAGGAAAACCTGAGTGTGGTGGAGCTCACCTGTAATCCCAGCACTGGGAGGCTGAGGCAGGAGGGTGGCAGGTTCAGAGCCCACCATGGGCAATTTAGTGACCTCATGAGACATCCCCTCTCCCTCACCCCAAAGGGGCTGAGGATGTTGCTCAGTGTTGAACCCTGGGTTCAATTCCCAATACCCAGGGGAGAGAGGGGGGCAAAAAAAGAATACAGAAAGAAAGTTTAGGTTTTATTTAAACCCCCACACTGGGTATCAATTCTACTAATGAACTACATCCTTAGTTAGTGATTAGTTCCAGCCCCAGAATATCAGACCAAAGAAGCCCCTCCAAGTTAGCAAGAGACCATGGAAACAAATACTGCTTCCCCAGGAAGTGACAAACTTACATAATGTAACCTTCTAGTACTGCAGGAAAAAACCTTAAACATACGAGTTTAGAAATATACCAAAATATCACGATGAGTTACTGGAGACCTAGAAGGTAACACCAAAGCACTAACAGCACTTAGGGCCACTTGCTCAGGGACTCAACTGCCTAACTCGTGAGGCAGGCACTACCATTATCCCATTTCTCAGATTAGGCAAGAGGTTCAGTACTATGAGTTGAGAGGCAAGTGGGAGATTTTAATTCCAAGTCCATGCCTTTTCATGCCCCCGGTGCCTGCAGACTGCAGACACAGCCCACTGTACACACCACCACCTCAGGGACGACCGCATGAGCCTGGCCTGCAGGCTGGTGCCGGCAGTGCAGCAGCAGAGTCTCACGGGTCTACGGTGAGCCAGGCCCTACTTCAATTCACTCTGGGTGGACCGCAAGAGTGGCGGATGGTCAGCCCTGCCAGATACACTCACCTGTCGAGGATAGGCTTCTCCTGCTCCTCCTCGGGGCTGGCGCTGCCCAGGATCCGTTTCCGGGCCTCGGCGTACTCGGCCTCCCGCTGTGCTAGGGACTTGACTGGAAGGGCTGGCCTGCTGGTGGAGTTCGGGCTGCTGACCACACCGTTGCTGGTGGGCCTCTTGAGGATGCGGATCTGTGGAGGGGGCCCCGTGGGAAGGCTATCGTCTTGAATCACAATGGGCACTTTGGGAGGAGATTTGGGTTTCCTGCTGACAAAGAGCAAACACAGCTTCACAAGTCACACCTTGCCTAGGAGGCCCGTCCACGCCCCACGCCTTGCCTCATCACTGCCCTCCCCTCCCCACTAACTCCCAGAAGTCTCTGGCCTCTGGCCAGACACTCAAACTCCCACTCCTCAGCAAGGGTCTCTCAAGAAACCAACTTCACCATCAGCTCTGGCAGTGCACAGGACCTGCTCCTCAGACCTCACGCCTGACTGAGGACAGAGCACCACCCCATCCTAGGACTTCTACCCATGGTCATCACAGGCAGGGCAAACACTGTTTGGCCCCCGAAGCAAAACATTTCATGTCCAGAATTCAATGACTTCACTTAAAATCCCCACTTCCCTACACAGACCAGAATGCTGAGAGGCTGGAACCGGGAGCCCTCCAGCCAGGTCTTCCACCACATGGGTCCAACTCAAACACCACACAGGACCTGCTACAGCAGCCCTGCCAGGCAGCAAGACAGGATTCCTCAAACAGTCCCAGCCTTCCCATGAGGGTGACCTGTGCCTCTCAAACAAGATGCATCAGAAAACGAGTCGCCTCTTCCAAAGAACTGGGCAGAGAAATTTCCCTCACCAGGACTCTCTGGTCTGTTAGACAGCGGCGGGGCTGAAGTGAAAGACAATCCTAGAAACAGCACATGGCAATGCTCAAGAGAAGCACTGTCCCAGGATGTGCACATCAAGGCAATGTGTCCACAAGGAGAGGAGGAACCGACAAAACCAAAGGGAAAACAACACAGGGTGAAAAACGAAAGCCACGGGAGGAGAAAGGGACGAAAGCAGGAAGGACCACCCCCACCAGCCACCAGGACCCTCCCAGAGCAGCCCTCGCTCCGGAGCCACAGGGGTCCACAGGGGTCTTTTCAAGTTCCTGGGTTGTCCGGTGGGGTCGGGTCCTGAGGAATCCTGCTGCTCCAGGGTGAACTGGGAGGAGTCCTGGGCAGGGCAGGAACGTGAAAAGGCCCTGCAGGCCGCAGGGCGTGTAGCTGTTGAGGTGAGCAGACAAACAGGAAGACAGCAATCTGATCACAGTGGCAGGGAGCCAGGAAAGCCAGCAGGCAGGCAGGTAGCACCCCAAAGTCCTCTGGGGGAATGATTGTGCAGCCTGTTAAGCAAACCCAAAGTCCCACCTTCCTTCCTGCCACTTGTCTCAGGGAAAACTGGCAGTTTACCTAAGCCCAAAGTCAACATTCACCTGCTCTGGAAACCCACTTCCCCTACTGTCTGGGGAAAACAGCAATCATTAAAAGGTCTTTTAAAAATTTCCCACAATCTTTTCTTCCAGGGTATCCTCAACTGCCAAGTTACTCAGGCCCCAGAGAAATCATCCATCCAAACTCCTTAGAAGGTCTCAGAGGAAGACACTGACATCCAAAGAGGGAAACAACATGCCCTGAACTTTAAGCAACTGGGGCACAGCCAGCCCTAAAACCCAAACCTCACAATTGGTCACCTCCCACTTTTCATCAGATGACCATGGCAGGGGAGGGGGCTGAGGGTGAGGCAGGTGTACCACCTCAGCCTCACACCCAAGGCCTCAGGCCACCACATCCTGGTCTCCAACTCAGAGGGAGGGTTCACTGCCCAGGAGCCTGACTGCTAAACCTAAGGCCAGCTGGAAACACCGCTGACTGCCCAGCTCTCCACAGCAGAGAGCACGAGTCCATCAGACCAGACAGCAGCCTTACCTCTCTTTTTGTGTGATCTTCAGTTTTTTTTCCAACCGTCTGTCTATTTCCTAGAGGAAAAAAATGTATATAAAAAGTGGAAGAAGATCTCTCTCAAATAAAAACTTAGGTCTTTATTCTCAGAGCTAAGGGCAATATCCTCTCTAGCCAAAGGACACGACTATGTCCTCTGAGGTGCTGGACATGGACTAGACTCTGGAGTTTGAGGACTTCACTCCCTCTGCAGATGCTCTCCTTTTAGCCCCATGGCCACAGCAACAGTTCTGGACCTTGTTCAGTTGGGTTCTTTGCACAGCCTCCAACCAGTCTTCCGCCTGTCCTTCACAGAGCCACACAAATTAACTTTCGGACATTAACTGTGATCGTTATTCCTGGCTTGAACTCCAAAGCATTCTCATCTGTTCCTTCTACCCGCTGTTCCCACTTTTGTACTACAGCAACACTGAGGCATTATGAACCCCAGAACCCTGAGTGCTGCTCTACCTGCCTGCAAGTCAGCTCCCACTGCAAACTCCCTCTTATTTGCAAAACCCAGATGTCTCCTTTCCTTTGAATCTTCTCCAACTCCACCAGCTCAGTTTATCAACTGCTCCCCAGGGTTAAACTTTTTTCCTCCCTTCATGGTCACACATATCAGCTATTTTATAATCTGTTTTTTACTGGCACAGACTTGAACACTGTGACTAGCATCTGGCTAAAGGCCTAGAGAAAATCAGGCCTGTGGAACTGAAGTTCCTAAGACTCCTAGTAGACTTGAGATCTGAAGAACAGAAAGTACAATGGAATTTCTCTTGGAACCAGAGCTGGTCTGTTTAAAAAAAAAAAAAAAAAGCAAAAGACAAGACAGATGCTGAGAAAGTACAGAAGGTAGATTATTGTCCAATACATTCTGCCCAATAACATGGCAGTGCAGAGCCCACACAGGGCCTAATCTCCTCAGTCCTGGGCAAGACACTGGCACCCACGGCCATCTGAGCCCACAGCCCCCAGCACCAGGAACTCAGCAGGAGGGGGTGAGGACAGAATGACACATGACACCTATGCACAGAGCAAAGGCCAAACCTTCAGGCCCCACGACTGTCACGCTGCTTGTGACAAGAGTTCTCAGCCAGAAGTGATTTTTGCTCCCCTAGGGACATTCGGCAAAGTCTACACTTTTTTGGGGGGTTGTTATAACCAGGGGAAGATGCTATGGGGTAGAGGCCAGGGAAACTGCTAAACATCCTATAACACACAGCACCATACCCACAACAAAGAATTAACTGTACCGGAAGTCAACAAGTGCCATGGCTGGAACCCCTGCTTTATAGAACAAGGATTTTCCAAGGAGTCCATCACTGAATGAGCAGAGCTGTGGTAAGAAGACCCTGGGATGTGCTGGGAACAGCCTCATGGCCCAGTGTGTGGCCTTTCTTAGTGCTGTGAAGTCCGGGAAATGCGTTGACAGGGTACAGTTCAAACTACCTAGCTCTATTCAAATCTTCTAAATTTTTACTCACTTGAACTATTAACTGTGGAAAGAATTACTTTTTTCTAGTAAATCTAACAGTTTATTATTATGAAATTATGTTAGAATCTTCTTTTCCCTTTTTGGGAATGCTGGGGAATTCAACCTAGGACCTCATTATCGTTTAATGTTAGTAAAAGTAGGCCAGGGCCGGGTATGTAGCTCAGTGGCACTGCATCTGCCTTGCGAGTACAAAGTCCTGAGTTCAATCCCCACTACTCAAAAAAAAAAAAAAGCAGGCCAGTTTTCTTCTACTAAAAAAAAAAAAAAAGCAGGCCAGTTTTCTTTGGTGCTATTTCCTGGAATGTTTATTCTCAGCCTCCCGTGTCCTTTTATAAACAATATGAAATTAGACTATTCCTATGAAGCTAAATTTAAATCCAGTCCAACAGTGATACCCATTCTGACCGGTGCTGAGTTATGTTTAAAATATATTCAGGCAAGTAACAGCAAATTGTATTGTGAGGGCACTAACCTACCAAGTCTCTGGTGGGGCTGAGAAAACACTAAAACAAAAACCTCTTGCTCCAGCTTGGAACACAGCCGGTGTCCAGTGAATGCCCAGTGACTGAATGGAAAAAGTACACCCAGAGCTATGATGACCTGGATGTCTGTGAACTGACAAACACGCAATCTGTGCCCACTGCATGGCTTGTGTTAGAACTGTATTCATTCTATTAATATCGTGTTATTTCTTGAGTAAACACTATGTCTTCCATTAGGCTAGAGCCTTTTAATGGACGCCTTATTTTATTAAAGTTCTATACCGCACCATTTGCTCTGCTCTGAAAATGAGACCCTCTACATCAAGTTTCTCCACCATAAACACAAGATTCAGCACCTGTGGGACTTAGATGACTTCAAACACAGTTGAAACCAAGTGCCAAACTCTACACTTGGGACACACATGGGGACCCATCAGGGTAGTGAGGGGGCACAGCCTGACACAACCTTACACCACTTGCCCTGCTTGAAACGCAGGACAGGTGCAGCTGAGTCTTGGTTGATAGAGCCAGATCTACTATTTCAAGTCTCTGAATTCAAGATCTGTATGGAAAAGCTCTGAATTTTTAAACTTAATTGTGGAAATTCTCATTTTCACATCACTGTAAAGGCCAAAAAAAAAAAACCCCACAGAAGCAAATGCATTTAATACATTAGCTAGATCTGAGTGTTCCTTTGTTTCCCATGGCTGCAGGAAAGCTGGAGACTTTATCCAGTCCCACCACGTGGGTCTAGACGAGAAAAAGCCCTTCCAGAAGATAAGGCTCATGCCTGAGTAACTGTGCCTCTGTCTCCAAACCTGACCGGCATACTTGGCTTACAGTAATACTGGTTTACTGGTTTTAAAAATAATACCCCACATTAAGGAAGCCACTGGTAAGAGCCATCAGGCATCCACCCCCTCTGCCCATCCCCCATTCCACACCCTCTCCCGCACCCCAATACTAAAACTCCCACCCAAACCCACTGCGTCAGGCATTGGTTTATCAGAGTTTCAAAGAGAGTCTTCCATCCCATTACAGAACAGGAAATAAACCTGGACAGCTTCGGAAGAAAGTGGATGCCAGATGTCTGGAGAGGGACATTAGGAGGGGCAGTGCTCCACCAGTAGCTGGAGGACACTGCGTCTCCCTGGAGTCTGTCCAGGTATCATGAGTCAGTCCGTTTTCTGCTCAAAAAAGGCCTTGCAATCAATGTGCTCTCAGCCTTATGTTCTGAAAAAGCAGACCAAATCAAAACTTTCCTTTAGGGTACCCTACAAGAACAGGCATCTCTAGAGATGAAATGGCCCACAGAACCCAAAAGGCTCACAGTGCTGTGTGAGGACGTGTGGAGACGCGGACCTGAAACGAAGAACCCACTTACTTATTTCTATACGAATGCATGAAGACCGAGGCTCCTGTGTCACAGGCCTGGCCTCCATGGCTAATGCTAGAAACACATGAGCTCTGCGACTCTGTGGAGTTGGCACCAGAGCACAAAGCAGTGGAAGGACCTACGTACATGCAAGAGGCAGGAGAAAAACTTGATGTGCCATGGCTTCTCCTCCTGGGTCAGGCTCTGGTTTTTGCCGAGTAGCAAGGAGCATACCCCAGATGAGGCTCTGTACTCTGGTAAGTGAGGCAGCTTTGTTTCTCCGGGTTCTGTTCTAAGCAGAGGGAATTCCCAAACCCAGGTGTCACTTGCCCTGTGGGGCTGTAGGACTATGAACACACAGCACAGTTTCTTTGTCCACAAGAACAAGCAAAACCAAATGGAGGTGCCTCAAAAAGCCAACAACGTTCCTGTCATAGTCTTTATATAGAACAGAGGAGACAGAGGAGATGCATCTGCAAGGTGAGGCAGATTATAAGAGCGGATTCGCTCCTGCAATACCAAGAGATGGATGAGAAAGGGGGAAAAAAAGAAAGAGGAGAAGGGCAGAGGCAGAAATAAGTAGGCCATTCTGGCCCTCGGTGTAAGGTGCACTGTAGCACTGTTGCTCAAGTCGGGCCTTAGCAAACAGACCCTGTTCACGGAAGTGATGAAGCCCTGGGCCCGACACACGGACAAGCTTGGGCCTGCACCTATGGCTGTGAGCCCGGGAGTGTCTCGGCCTCCCTGGTGCCTACTCCCCCAGAGCTGCTCCCTGACCCCCATCACCAAGTGCAGCAGGACACCTTGCTCCATTGGGAACCTCTTCTTTCACCAGTGCGACCAACACAATTCCTGAGAAGTCAAGTGAGGATTTAGCTCAGTGGCACTGTGCCTGCCTCGCAAGAACAAGGTCCCGAGTTTGATCCTCAGCACCAAAAAAGATAAAATAAAATAAAAAATAAGAGCCAAGATAAAAAAAAAAGGTTAAGTGACCGTGCACTAAATGGGGGTCTATGCCGGGCATGGTGGTGCACACCTGTATTTCCAGCACTCGGGAGACTGAGGCAGGAGGATCGCTGTGAGTTCGAGACCAGCCTGAGCAACATAGTGAGTTCCAGGTCAGTCTCAACTACACAGTGAGACTCTGTCTCAAAAAACTAATGAATGAATGAATGAATGGATGGATGGAGGTCTAGCTGACTGTACATGATAGTTTCAGCTACTCAGGAGGCTGAGGCAGGAGAATCAAGAATTTGAGGCCAGCCAAGTACAGTGGCCAACCTCCCCCCCCAAAAAATTAAAAAATAAAAAAAAAAATTAAAATGAGGGCTGGGGATTTAGCTCAGTGGTTCTGCTGCTTGCCTCGCAAGCACAAGTACCCAAGTTTGAACCCGAGTACCAAAAACAAACAAACCAAAAAACAAAATATTTAAATGAAGGCCTAAAGGCATCATTCTTGGTTCTTAGCTCTGGATTAGGAAATATCCTCTTTTTACTGGCAAAAAAAGCAGTTTCCTCTTTGTTAGGTTTTTCCTCTCACGGTCAAGGAATGACAACTGGTCTCAAGGACCCTGTTTTTGTTTTTTTTTTCTTTTTATTGAGGTTATTGGTACAATCTAGGTATACAATACAATTACATTCATCATTGGGATTCTGTACCTTTACATAATAGGTCTTGATTCTCATTTTTCCCCTTGTCCCTGCCATCCCTTCACCCCCTCCTCCCCTCCCCATTACAAACACTTTATTTCCATTTTTTCAGTTTCTCATATTTTTTTCCTCTCCCTTATTACCTTTCCCCTACCCTTCCCACTTTCCCTACACCTTTAGCCCTTTACTTCCTATTTCACATTATTAATTATCTCATTAGGATCCTGTGTACTATTATAGCTTTTCATACCAAAGTATTTCAGTTAAAGAAATCTCTGTATGAACATTAAAAATAGGGAATCCTAAAATAAAACTAAAAAGGAAAGTAAAAGAGAAAAGGCAATGATGTAACATCAAAATAATCCTTAATTCTGGAGATGAAAATGGTCCCTGAACATATTTAAATTGCCTCTCGCTCTTGTAGTCTTATCTTATTCTTGAGGACCCTATTAATCAGCACGTCCCACAGAATATACTGGCTCTTGCCTAGCTGTCCTTGACTGAGAAGGGCCAAGTTTCCAAGTGGACTCAGAGGATCGGAAGAAAACATAGTACAACAGGATTTCTCTCCAAACCAGAACCTAGCAGGTCCCGACTAACACAAAGATACTATTCTAGGAAAGAAAAAAAAAAGTAAAGAATTGTTGGGCATGGTGGTACACACCTATAATCCCAGCTAGTTGGTAGGCTGAGGCAGGAGGATCCCAAGGGAGCCTCTGTTGCAAATAAAAAACAAAAATGGGGGTCAGGGATTTAGCTCAGTGGTCCACTGCCTGCCTTACAAGCACAAAGACCCCAGTCTGCCCTCCCACCGTAACAAAACAAACAAACAAACAAATTTTTAAAAATAAAAATAAATGGGGGCCGGGGATTTAGCTCAATGGTTCTGCCCCCTGCCTTGCAAGGATAAGGTCCCGATCCCCCATAGCAAAAAATAAAAATAAAAATGGGTGGGGATGTAGCTCAGTGGTAGAGCACTTCTGGGTTCAACCCCCAATACCAGACAAAGGGAAGACAGACATTGAGCAGCAGAGGGACTACTGTCTAACACATTCTGATGCTAATCTCCCCAGTCCTAGGCAGGGACGTCAGCACCCAGGTCCCCTCTGGATGGCCAGTGTCAGAGTCTTCAGCAGAGCAGCGCCCCTGGCAAGGCGCTTATGGCTTCCCACAGCACAAATCTGTTGTTTTTTCTTTGTCTGTTTGGTACCGGGGATTGAATTCAGAACCTTGTCCTTGCAAGGTAGGTGTTGGTGTGCCACTGCACTAAATCCCCAGCCCCACACCACAAATCTGGATTGGTTTCTGGCTCCTCCTGTGAGGAACCCAAGTTCACTTAGGAATACATAAAGTAAATTAATTCATAAGTAGGGCCAATCCATAACAGCAAACCTGGTCTAAAACAATCAAATAAAAGGTCTTTGTACCTTAAAATATATTACTAGCTATCTCCAGTCCAGATGATCAATCCAGAGACTTGAGAGAGGTCAAGTCAATCTGTCTAGCTCTGCTCCACCTCTGCTGTTTCTCTGTGTCAGCAGCGCTGTGGTGACGGTGTCTGCCCTGGTGGGGTCGACCTTCTCAAACACCTCTGTGTATTCCACCCCCCACAGCCAGAGGGGGAAGCACCCACTGTCCCATCACCCCAGTTTGATTCTACAGTATTTCTTCAGAGTCACTGTCAGGTTCAAATAAAAAATTAACCCAACTCCGGGTAAACACAAACTTCATTAATAAAAAGAAATAATAAAAAAGAGCAAAAAGCAAAATTCAGAAGTTGAGAGATAAGAACTAAAGGACATAGCTAGGCCATGAATTTATCAATTTGCCTTTTCAATGTACACTCAGTCTGTTTTGGGGTTCCATTTCCCACAAAAACATCCTTCCTTTGTTACTGCCACACAAGAAAAAACATTTATTTTTAATTAAATGGGTCACCGTGGGGCACAGGATATGGTTCTACAACTCTCCCTCAGAGGAAGTCTAGGCTTTGTTAGCATGTCTCCAAATTCATTTTCCTCTTGCTCTACTATAACTAAAAAAACCTAAAACCCAAAAACGTTGGAGACAAATGTTTACAGAAAACCTATTATACAGCACACGCACCAGACCCTGGGGAACAGGAGGTGAGCAAAACGATTTCTGCTGGTGAGGAGAGCTCTGCAGTAGAGGGAGACAGAAAAGCAAAAGCCAGGTGGACAGTGTTTTAGAAAGAGATGGAGGAGTGTAATGCCGCCACAAAAGTGAGAAAAAGTGACCAGGGCTTACATGACACTGGTTTCAGGGAAAAGAAGGCATAAGAAAAAGTTGGAGACAGAGAATGATAATATAAATAGAAGAAAAGGAAAAGAGACCTACTCTAAAGCTGGGTGTGTTAGCATGGGCCTATAACCCAACACTCAGGGAGGCTGAGGCAGGAGGAGTTTCAATTCCTTATTGAGATTCTATCCCCAAAATTAAAAAAGGGATAGGGATGTAGCTAGTTCAGTGTAATGGTTCTGAGTTCAATCCCTAGTATTGGGGTGGGTGTGGGGGGAGAAAAGGAGAAAAACAAGATATCTCCTAGACCAGGAGATTAAAATCAAGAAAGTTATCTTACATTGAATCTTCTTTTAACCTAGTCCATCCAATTACTTAATCTACAGAACATTAATTATAATTATTACGATCAGCAAGATAAGAGTGTAACCAGGGCTGCAGAAACCATGAAGGGCCCTGGGAGTGGTGTGTTACACAGAACAAGGAACTCTTCCAAGCCTGTAAGGGAAAGCCACCCCCACTTTCTTTCCCAAGCTCCTGCAACTTTTTTTCTTTTTTCTTTCTTTCTTTTTTTTGGGGGGGGGTAAGACAGGGTCTCACTACGTAGTTGAGACTGACCTGGAAACTCACTATGTAGCCTAGGCTGGTCTCGAACTCACAGCGATCCTCCTGCCTCAGCCTCCTGAGTGATGGGATTACAGGCGTGCACCACCACGCCCGGCTCCTTCAACTTTTAAGATCTCTTACCCCAGTGACAGGGAGTCCTTCAGGAATTAGCTCTAGCTGTGCCACCAAGTACACATGGCCACTGAGCACCTCTCACAGGCCAGTATGAACAGAGAGGCATCATCAAGAACTAAATGTACAGTACATTTCCCAGACTTGGTATGAGTGTAAAATATCTCATTCACATGTTTTTAATATTGATCACATGCTCAAATGGTACCATTTTTTATACAATGGGTTGTATTAAAAAATTAAAAATTTTTAGTGCCCAATGTTGACTCAGGCCCTGCTCTGAATACCATTCAGCACCTCACTGCAAGCCAGCTCTCTAAGTCCTGACTCACCTGATCCATGTTGGTCACCAAGGACCTCAACCGCTGCCAAATTCCATGGTAATTTCCAAACCCTAGACCTCTCAAGCACACCTGACAAGACTCAAGGCTTCTTCCCGTAAGCATTTCCTTTACTCAGGCTCCAAGACACCATTCCCCCGGCCCAGGTCCTGTCTACTGCCCGGAGCACCACGCCATACAATGTGGTCGATCCTTTCTAGCACAAGAGACTCCTCTTCCTTTCCTGGCCCTCTGAGGTTGGAGGACTAGGAGTTCAGATCTTAGGCTTATTTGTTGGTTTTCTGAGATAGGGTCTTTCTATGTTGTGCATGTTAGCCTCCAACTTAAAATCCTCTTTCCCTGGTCTTGGATTACCGTTGGACACCATCACACTCAGCCACACTGGCACGTTTTGTTGTACTGGGTATTGGATCCAGGGCCTGCCGCTGCTATGTCCCTAGGCACCCTGCCCCACTTTTTTGAGACAAGGTCCACTAAGTTACTAAACCACCAAGGCTGGGCTCAAACTTGCAATCCTCCTGCCTCAGCCTCCTAGAGTAATGGGATCACAGGTGTGCCCCACCAGATCTGGTATACCCTGGCTTAAGTGACCTCATCTAGGTCCACAGTTTATAAAACCCAATCTATAACTGCTGACTCAACATTCACACTTGGACTTCATAAAGTTAGCTGGGCACGTACCTATAACCCAGCAACTGGAACACATTGAGGCAAGAGGGTAGTCATGAATTTGGGGCCAGCCTAGACTACTTAGTGAGTTCAAAGCCAGGCTGACCTGTATAGCGAGATCCTGTCTCCAAAGAAAAAGTGAACTGCACATACTGTATTCGTCTGGAGTGCCTAAAATAGCACACAACACAAGAATTAATGAACAATCCTAATGAAACAGAGTTTTACAAATCATATAGCCCAATTCTACACTGAAAATCAATCAATTCAGAGTTCCAGGCTAGTATGCAGTGAAGTAAAAATTTGAAGTGGGTCTGTCTGGGTCCAAGGAAGAGATCGGATTCATATTTAAGACTGGGCTGGGGGTGTAGCTCAATGGTAGAGCACAGCCTTGGTATGGGTTAGGTTCCTTAGTCTCCTAAAAGGCAAACCAAGACTGCCTTCTCCAAGCACCTGCTACCAATATGTGTAAGGCTCAGTGCCCTCCCAGCACCACCTCTAATCCGAGACACAACCCTTGGGCTATGTCACCCCCGCTGCACGCTCCGCATTCGGTCCCGTACCCTCGAGAGGAGAGTGCACAAAGGTTCAGAGAGTGGCGGAAGGGTGGCAGCAGACACTAATACGACTGGATAACGGCTGACAGTAGCACCACCCGCCTCCACACCTAGGCCAGGTCCATGCCAAGTCCAGGTTTCCGAAAGAAGGACTACAATAGCAGCACTGACTTCCACAGTCCAGACCTTTTATTATTTGTAGTTCTTCAGCAGAAACCAGATCCAGCAATACATCCCAGGAGGCCCCAGAAATTGAACTGCCATCTTGAGAAAAGATATCATTTGCTTTGAGTGTTTCTTCAAAGGGTCTCCATGTGGGAAGGAATCCACACAGATCTTCACCTCCAAGTATCAGGCCAGGCAAGGGCGAGGAGCCCTGCCCTGCACATAAAACAGGGT